AAATACACACACACAAAACGGTAAGAGGAAAAACAGTTTGTGAGGAACACAAGACCTGTAGGAAACATGGGATGAAGCTGGCTCTCCTTGTGGAGTCAAAATCCTTCTGGAATGATCTCCTCTCTGCTGCTTCAACATACACGACCACATGGTGAATTCATGCACAGCCACATCGTTTCCAAAGGACACCTGGGACTCACAGTGAAGAACAGCTCAAATCTATCATTGCCTGTCCCCCACAAGTGACAGTCTGTTAGCCAGCAACATTCATTGCTGGTGGACTGTTTCTGATGGGGTGTTTGTGGAGCAAAGTTTTAACTGCAAGGGCAAATAGAAACCAGCATGTCTGTGTATACCTCTCTCACTTGTGTCTGGTGTTTGTGACCTTTCTTATCAGCTGAATAATAAAATTAATAGGATAATCAATTTTCTTTTGATGGATAATGAATGCAAGAAAAATAATTATGTGGTTATGCTTTTATTTCATGTTAATTATTAAGTGTTTATGCTCATGAACCCTTTGCTTACTTAAAATAGCAGGACAGTTAGAAATTATTGGAAAAGTTGATGAATCTAGATTTGCATTAAAACGTTGTTCAGAACACATACACTGAAATAAGTGAAACTTACAGATGAATGTGAAAACTTAAAGTCTAATTTTTATGTTAAGGACTGCAACAGAGTATTACAATACATGACAGAACATAATACTATGCTTTCAAGTGAGACAGACAGAATTTCCAAAGCTTTTTGAATATTTCACTGCTTAAAATTACTTTAGATATTAGAAGTGGGGTATTTTATGAAGTATCAGTGAAAAAAAGAATAAAGGTGACATTTTATGTTTCTTAATGGTTTTCATAAAGCCTGCAGCCTGGCAGGTGAAAGCATTACTTTCATTAGAAACAATACTGTACATACTATTGTATAGCTCAACCACGTATTAAAAAATACCTCCTGACACTGAAAGATCTACAGTTGGAAGAATCAAGTGGGATAAGTTCAGTGTTTGGTTACTGAGAAAAATCATAGAATCACTCAAGTTGGAAAAGACCTTAGAGATCATTGAGTCCAACCATGACCCAACCATGCTACCCTAAGTAACAACGCTCTGCGAAATCATGTCCCTGAGAAAAATGATGTGTATATAGCATTACCAAAAACTCCAATGTTTTGGGAAAGGATTTACTGTTACAGAACTTTTAAAGAATATACTATATAACAGAAATGAATCTTCTATGCTGATTGATACTGTAGGGTTTTTTGGGGACAGACAAATACTTAGAGACTGTGCGTTGTCTGAGCGAAGGGTATCCTCTTAACTAGATACCTTAATATTTATTAAAAAAAAAAAAAGAAAATATAATTTTGGTGGGATACTTTGTTATTCCCACGTTAGCATTACAATTCTCAGTGTTAAAAAGGCAATCGTGTACACATTTTTGGTTACAGGTTATGGTAAAGGCAAGATTTAGTTGCATAAATCCAATGTGGCTTTTGTTAACTGCCATCAGTAAAGTCTGATTCTGTCCCATCTCTTTAAAACTGCTTTTTTTTCTTGTAAAAATCGATGTTTTATTCTCTTATGTTTGCTGTTAGCTCTTATGGTATCAGATTTTTGTATTCTGGTAGTTAACAAATTGCTACTGCACTTAGAGGCACAGTAGAAGTGATTGGAATTGTCATGTTAATGAAACTCAGGTTTAATAATTAAATCCTGGTAACTAGAGGAAAGGATATGCCTTCTAAAAATTCCTTCAAGGCCTGTGGCTGAGTAATTGTTATGCAGATTTAACTCATTACAAATTTTTTTGAAATTGACTATTCAAAGTTTTTACTCCAAATTGCATGACATCTTGTGTACTTCTAAGCAAAGGTGTACATAGTACCTTTACCCTAATTTTAGTACTGAATATAATGATGTTTTTCAGGGCTTGTACATATTTTGCACTCTCATTGCAACAAGTTACTACTGCCTTTTGCTGAAACCTTTGCTTGGCACGCTTCGTTTAATGGCAAATTGCCTGGGTACAGGCAGCTGTGAGATGGCATTTCTTTGCTTTTCAAGTCAAGTAGCACTTATCTGTGCACAAAGGGCAGTGCTGGTAGTATTGAACAGAGAAAAAAAAGAGAAGAGAAAGAGGGAGCAATTTGCTAGTTCTACAAACATTTTCTGTAACCAAATAAATTACTTTATGTGAATGAGTTCTTAGCTCTGAGCACATGAGGTGGTACATTAGATAACTGCATATTATCCACTCTGCAGGATCAATGACTGAACAGCGGGTGTTCTCCTATGTGTTTATTCCTTCTTTTGGTCAGTGCATTTGGTTTGGCAAGCATTCGAATAACATTCAATAGGAAATGACCAATTTCCTTGTATCCTTTCCCATTAATAGAAACCTTCAATTCCTTGCAGAAGATTCTTGGCTGGGAGAAAGCCAATACAATTTAACTTTCAGGCAGCCCTAAGGAGATCACTTACATACTAACTTCAAACATGCTGCTCAGTAGGCTCAAGGTCACGGCTTCTCTAATTGTTGTATAATTGAAAAATGTTGTTAATTTCGTTAGCTGCATTATTATTGCTGTATGCATGTTAAAGAATATTCCTTTGCAGGCACTGGTGTAGCAGATTAGATCAGAATTATTTTGTTGTAACAAAATGTGTGTTACGCATAATGTATAAGTGTAGAAACGTCCTTCCTCCATTATGCTGCTGTATAAGTGAATCCAGTCCAAAATAACAAAACATCTTATGTACAAGATCAGGGAAAGATCTGCTAAGAGTGCTCTGAATTTGCAACTATTTTTACATCAGAATTAAGTTAAAAAGCATTGTTTTTGAAAATGCCAGGAGAAAATAAAATTATGGAGGTATTTAAGATACAGTATTTAATGATTCTGTCAGAGGAAATTATCTGATTTGAACCTCTGAGTGGAATGTGTGCATGTATATACCTGTGTGTGTATAAACTGTAGTTACCGTGTACTGTAGAAATATACAATATCTTTGATATCTTATTTCACAGACTTCACATTTTATGCAAGACTATTGCTCATCTGTGCTTCCTGATGCATTAAGCTGACTCTGTGTTACTGCACATATATGATAACAGGGTGTACTGGGGCTAGTTTATGTAATTTTATCACACCATGGCAAAAAAATTATCCTGCCCTAACACACATTTTATTTATAGGCCAGTAGGACAGAAACCTTCCCATAATTTATCTTTTATAACACTCGACATAGTCTGATATCAGGTAGTGGACAAAATGAGGTCAATTCCAGCTCCTGTGGTACAACTTCTTGAATACAAAAACAGCAGAGATAAACAGCGTGACTCTATGAGTGGAACAAACTCAAACTAACAGCTCTGAAGCTTCAGTCTCTTGTGGCAGAGGAGGTTATCGCTTTGGTTACTGCTAATTCAGCATGTAGGAATGTGCAGTACCAATGACCCGAAATATGCAGGGTTTTGAACCTTCTTATAAAAATCAGGGGTAACCTTATCATGAGGAAAAATGCCAGGCTTCCTATTTCCACATGGCTTTTGTATTTACTTCATCTAAGCAGCAAATGTTGCTGAGCCAATTAGCCAGATATTCATATTAGTTTTGTACAAAACCTTTCTCCTTCTCAGGCCCTGTCTCCATCATACAGAGCAGAGCTCAGCGCTGCCCCTCCGCTCCCCATGAGGAGCTGCAGCCGCCATCAGGCCTCCCCTCAGCTTCTCTGCTCTGGGCTGCACAAACCAACGGATTTCAGGCAGTCCTCATGTGTCTTGCCTTCTAAACCTTCCACCATCTTCACTGTCCTCCTTTGGACACTTTCTAATCGTTTTATGTCCTTCTAAGACTGTGGTACCCAGAACTGTACACAGTTCTCAAGGTGAGGTGTTGAGTGGGTAGCAGTGACCTCACACGGGTTCTGCTCTAATGTACTAGACATGAAATTATATCCTAGAAGTAATTATAAAAAAAAACAAACACAATGCCAGATCTCTTGTATCAAATACAAAACCCAGGAGCAAGTAAAGCTGTAATTAAAAACTGGCACATTCGTTTGTGCCAGTTTTAACATGACAGAGCACAGTCTTTGGTTGAGATAAAGCATCCGTGTCAGCATGTTATCTTAATCATGCCCTTGCCTGTCTATATGAAACAAACAAACAAACAAAGTCTACATTTTTTAAAGTCCTATAGCCTTGTTTTTTGGAAGATGTATTAATATTTGCTGAATCAATGTTCTGTCTCCATGCGCAGCCATCACACACTTCACAGAGATTCAGCAGCAATATTTCTAGAGGATTGAACAGCTTGTCTCAGGACTTCAGAAATGAAAGATAAAAGGAAAGTTTTGAAGGTTCAGTATTTTAGAGAGCTCATTTTTTTTATGCTGTGATTTTAAATTTTTTTTTAATATATCAAAAGCATACTTGACATTGCCAAGGACAAAGCGATTTCTTTCACCTGTGTTTTTGCACTCAAGCTTAGTGGATATCCAAAGGCATCCTTTGTAAGCTATCACTGTGAGTTCAGCTGCAGTTTTGCTCTCCCGTATTTTACTGGAGATATTTCTGGATGCCCTCTGGATCTGAGGTAGCATGGCATTCACAGAGAATCTGCATCCTTCCTCAGGTCTGGGGCTGTAGGGTCACCCCAGGCTATCAGGTCACACACCATTGTGCAGAGCTATGCGGTGTGCTGGCAGCATCAGCTGCTGGCTGAGCACTGAGCTGGCTACGCATGCAGGGAAGTGCTCTCAGATATCTAGTTAGTGCTTGATCTTTGCTGTTTGAGATCTCCTGCCTCAGCAGAAAACCTCCACACTGGAGATATTGCCTCAAAGATATTCTCTTCCTGGAAGTCTTTTAAGTACAGTGGTGGAACAGTGCCAAAATTGTATTTTAGCAAACAAACAGTGCCAGTCACTGGTGTAAGTGATTAGCTCCAATTCACGTGCAAATGGTGACAGCAGATAATGGGTCTATAGGGTATCCCCACAGAAGAACAGAACACTGGTAGGAAGGAGGAAAACTGCTGCCCGTACACTTGCCAATAATGGTAAGTACTCTGTGGAATGAAATCCTGGAAAGTGATGATCCACACCATTTACTGTTGTTACCAAAGCAAACAAATGACTCTGTGAAATAAAAGATTCTAATTCAGAGTTTTAAAATTTATATTTCATTGGGTTCATATTTTAGATACAGATCCAACTAGCTTGTTGAACTCATGTAACATTGTACAGTATTTTAATTTGTGTATTTTCTGACTATCAAAAATGCAATCAATTTTTTCTTTTATTTTTCTTCAATAGCTTATTACCCAACACTACAAATGAGTCATTTCTTTTCAGACTGCATTACAGAATACAGCAATGAACAGAACAGAAAATCTCCAGGAGAGAGGCCAAGAGAGGGTGTTCTGCACAGCGAGATATTCTTGCTACAAGTAAAATGTGATCAAAGGCATTGAAATATCAGCCTAAGGGCTCCCTAAATCATCCAGTAGCAGATTGGAGCAGTGTACCCCACAGATCCATGAACTGGTTTGTTTCTGGCAGGAAGAGATGGAGATGACAAAACCTTTGAAAGTCAGGAATGTGTCTGGCTGTGTATTACTGAACTTTCCTACAAGACTCAAACCTGACTAGTTTGTTCTGCTGTGCACCAATACATGCAGCAGTTCTTGCTTGGGATGCACTGAGAATCACAGTGTATCATCCAAAAATTCACAGAGTTATATATAAACAGAGATATTACTGCTTATTACAGCTCAGCAAGGTGGACTCTTAGACCAGCCAACTGACTTATAAGACCTGGACTTCAGGTGCTCAAGGTGAGCACAAGAGCACCTTCCTTGGGATGAACATGCTTGCAGAAAGCCTGATGCCAGAGGTATCCCAAGCTATACAAGGTGAGCTTTAAGTCTTGTACGGACAATTCAACAGTTAGCATTTTCTGAGTATGTCAAGACAAATTTGAATGCAATTATAAAATATTCGTCCTAAAAATTCAGAAATATAACACATATAAAATATCACAACAGCATAATTATGTATAGCAAGGTACAGTACTTGATTTCCAGCAGTTTAGCAGCTTCTACTGCTCGTTCTGCAATTGCTGTTGGAGGCTCATGCAATCTAATTGGCTTTTGCAATAGCAATAACAAGAGATAGAGTCTGTACTCCAAGGATCAGCATTAATAAAGCAGGATTATGATCTTTACAGACCTCAGTCAAAAGCCAGGGATCATGGTTTCAAATATAAACAGCATGCACTATTCAGAAGCAAAACTACTTTTTGAAATTGTTTTTAGCAATGGAAAAGAAGAAAATTACAAGACAGAAATGCCAAGATGTCTGACAAGAAGTGTTTCTCTCAGATGTTAGCAGCCCAAGTTGTTAAGATGTTTCATAAAAGATCAGAAAAAGCATAATAAATTATAATAAATACTTTGCATGAGACACCTGAACACATTGCACATTAATATGCACAATCAGCCAGACTTTGTGTTCATGTATGAATACTTTAAGTAACAGCCCCAGCACCCTGCTTGGTACAGATGTGCTTGAAGGCAGAGCAGGTAGGACACAGCTCACTCCTTTCCCTGTAACATGCTGTCAGTGATAAAGTGGGCTCTGCCAAGATATGCATCATTTTGAGCACTGGAAAAGACAGGGAACCAATGTCCAGATTAGAAGCATCAAATTCAACTGGAATGTGAGTTCAGGGACTCGGCCCAGCAGAGTCTTGAAAGGCCTCTTTTGAGCTGTGAAAGGGTGTTTAACTAGAGCTGTGTGCCTAAAGGATAACATGGGATTCAGAAGGATTGTATACAACTCTCAACATGCACAAATTCATCAGAATTAATCTTTTGGCCTGTATGGTTCTCGCAGTGTCAGCTCTCTTCATTCACTGCTGCAAGGGCAAATAATGAGCTTTCTGCTGACTCCTGGAAACACCCTGCCTGGGCCAGAGGGCTAGGGTTTCATTCTGGGTCTTATCCTGTGTAATTTCTCTTGGTAATGCAGATAAAGCAGGAAACAGTATCCAGAAATGTGGCAGCTACAGCGATTTAGGGATGCTCCATTTTGAGTCCTGAAAGACAGTAAACAGTAATCAGAACCCAAAGCATTTATCATCAAGAATTGCTTTTGAAAACATGGCTTGCACTCTGCTTTCCCTTTTATGACTCATGCTCAGTCCTGCCTTACTTTGCTAGTATTTAAAAGAGAAAAAAGAAAACCGCAGATCACCATTAAAATATCAGAAATGATCTCAAAGTGCCTTCTCTCTATAGCTGTACTCAGTTAATGCACCTTATAGTAAAGAAATTGCAGGCCTTCACTTACCAGCATGATATACAAATTAAAGAAATTTAACAAAAATGTGTTTTTTTTATATTTCTTTCTTTCTTTCTTTATTGACTGAAATAATTGATGCTCAGATTAAGACATGACAGACGCATGACCTTCTCCAATATTCTGTCCAGAATGATGGAGTGGATACACGTTTGCCTAAACAGTGGAATGGGTCAGAAGAAAGCAGAAAGTAGCTATTCTAAAAATACATATTTATGTGTTCTTAATAAAAACCACAAGTGAAACAGTCTTTTCTACCATCATTGAGAAAATACATGGGAAAGAACTAATTTGTCCCTTGATCCTCATTAGATGCCGTCAGTGGTTTCTGCACTTGCAGAAAAAGGTTTTTTTCTCTGTAAATGGAGAAGCTGTGCATGGAAAGCAGTGATAAAGCCCGAGGCACTCCTCATTCTGGGTGCTTTTCCAAGCAGCTCAACGGAGCTCAAATGCTTCTTTAAACAATTTCAGCTTTGAAGAAGCAGCAGGGGATCTTAAAATCAGAAAATAATGTGTTCACAGCTACCTGACTGAGATTTTTTGAATGAGGGATTGGAAGCACATGACCACATGAAATTTTTAAACTGAATTAAAAATACAATATTTATGTAACTGTCCTTCCTGTTACTTTTTTCAGACCTCCAGTATTGTGACAGAGAAACAGTCCTCCACAGGGCATAATATTGCAGCACAAGACCTTGTTCCCATAGACAAAATTTCTTAATTTAATCTTCATCTAAACAAACATTCCCTTCCATAAAATAGAATAATAATCTCAGTGGTTTATACTGTGTTTTCAGTCTCTTAGCAAAGTAAACACCGACCCCCTGCCTCTTCCATCTCCTGCTTCCTTTCCCATGTGCTTTGTGTCTCTAAGCCTTTGACCCATGCCTGCATCTATTTGATCTTCTCAGACCTAACAGCTCTGCTGTGCTGCAGAGTTAATGAGCCATGGAAACGAGATCTGCACCTTTATTGCAAAGTCATAGAAGAAGCTTTTCTACTTTATGGGAAACATCTTCATGTTGGTGTCAGAGACCCATCTGACCCTCTCCACGCTTGAACACAACCTCTCTTATCTTTCTTCTTTAATTCTCCAGAGTTGCTTAGTTTTTTTGTTTGTTTGTTTTTCTGAGTTACTAGATTCTTGATTATTTTTAGAGCTTTTGCCACAGAATATGTTCAGATTTTTTTTTTTAATTGATGAATTTCACAGACAGAAATGCATATTTCAGTTAAGACAGGAGCAACATAAGAAGAAATCCTTTTGATTCAATCCAGATATCCTAATTCAATCCTAAATCCAGATATCATTTCTAAAAACAGTTTATTTTCAAGAGGAATGGAATAAAAAATATAGTAACTCAGGACATTCTTCTCAGTTTGATTGCTGCTCACATTATTGAAAAATAAGTATTTAAAAATACAACAGTGACACACTTTTGGAGAAATCATTCTACTTTGAGCAGCTGGCACCTCTTTTGATATTACTGATTTCATAGCATAATATCAGATGTGTTTTTCTTTTCCCTATTCCCCCTCATTTACCAAAGCAGTATGATGGTTGGTGCTCCTTTCCTTACTCGGAATAAACTGTCACTGTTATAAGCATCTGCTAAAGGTTTCTGGCAAATGTTAAATACTGAGTGATGAGCATTAAGCAAGTGAGTATTATGCAGTTCCAAAATGATGCAGGAATAAAAATATTGATGATGATCATGACAAAATGGCAAAAATTGTAAGTAGTAATGATTCATATGTATTTGATTTGTGATATTTTGTAAGTGCGGACCATGATACCAGCATATTCTGAGACATATAATACCTGTTTTACATCATCCAGCAAGTGATTTAAGAACCCTTATTTTTCCCCTTGGAGTTTATTTATTGGGACAGAAAACCTGATTGATTCATAGCAGGGGCCATATTTTAGCAGTTTCTGCCATTACATTTTATTTATTAGTGAATTTCTACATCTTTCTGACAGAGATAAGGATCTCCACGATGGTGTCACTGTCAGAAGCGTCCATATGGAAATGGAAACTTGCTTTTCTTGCTTCTTAAAGACTGTCTGAAAGACAGTTCACAGAACTCAGGGATTTCCAGAGAGTAGGCTGAAAATCACTATTCTGTAACATTCTTTTGAGTATTACTCCATAAATTAGATGTACATAGCAAATACAGGGTATGATTATTTCAAGCCTGAAATAGAAACAACCTAGAACTGGGATGAGCCAAAAGGCTGAACTGACAAGAAAACTCACCAAGTTGATTGGAAAGTGAGATTACAGGTCCTCACATATAGAATTAAAATGTAGCTCTGTTGAATTCTACACTTCCAAGTAGCTCGAAGAGATTTGCATTTGATCAGAAGGTCTCTATTTGAAACTGGAAATGTACTTCTTGTGCCTTATCATGGGCCACTGATTCACATTAAAAGAGTGATCACGTTGACATTAACAATAGAGATGGAAAATCTTTATAGCCACTCTTTTTCCTGCTTGGTGTCTATCTAAGCAAAATCCATGGCAAAGGAAAGTTCCACACAAAAGTTTGTAACTGGCTTTGTATTGGACCTCTCCAGCAGAAAAAGAAACAAGAAACTGTAGACGGTCACAAGTTGGGCTACAGACAAGATTACCTCCTTGCCTGCTATCATGGCAGCTAATTACTGGCACAACTAAAATCACAGTAGGAAAAGAAGCATTCAGTTTTGCAGCAATAGCATACCTCTAAGACAATTTCACAAGTGGAATTTTGATAAAGAAGAAACTGATTCCAGGTGTGCTTCTTTTAAGACCTCAGCTAATGAGAAACTGTGCTCCTTTCAACAGATTGCTTCTAACTTTGGTAGTCTGAGAGGAGCTGGTGCTGAGCAATATAAAACATACTTAACAACATCATGGTTCTTGTTTAATAATATGCAGGTACAGAAACTGGGGGTAACTGGAATGTGTAACTAAGTACATGAAAATAAACAAAGTTTCTGAAAGCAAATGCAAGCATGGATCCATTTTGTCACGTTCCTAGAAAATGACCTCTGGCTGGCTGTTTACCTTTGCAGTTTCTTGAAAGATACAGGTTCTGATCTCTTTTCATAAAATGGTAAAGAAGTAAATGTGACAAGTAAAATAAATGATAGCTGGGAACATCTCATATCATCTTGCCTGTCTTTTCCAAGAAGTGTGGAAGGATGTTACAATCTGATGTGAACATGCAGAGGCTAAACATTCAAAAAACTTCTGAAATGGCCAGTAAACTATTTTGGCTTCACTGCATATTAATTTAGGTACTTTATGAAAGTCTTTAAGGGTCTCCAAAACCATGGCATAGCTCATTCAGTTCATCAGTCATTAAAGAAATACTGGAGACAGTGAGCACTAGCAACAAAGCAGAGATGAAGGCCTATGCACTACAGAGAGGAAGTAAAAGCCCCCTCTAAGAGCTGATATCATCAGTTAGGTAGAGGAGTCACTTCCCAAATGAAATCAGATAGAGCTCTAACAATAGCCACCCGGAAATCACAGAAATCTGCAGGATTCATTTGTTTCCAAGAAGACCTAAATGTTTTCCTAAATCTCAGAAGTTGATCTACACAGTGTTTGTCTTCAGCAAGTTCAACAAGGAGTATGACAAAGATCCTGTTGTCTTTGCCTCCAAGCTTGTTTGTGTTGTGTGTAAGTTGCTACCTGATGAGCCATTTATATACTGCATTCCAAGTTATTTCCTCTACTGCACCAACAATGCCTAATCTGATTTCCTATGATAAGAATCCAGTGCTGCGTGTAGATGTCAACATCCATCAAAAATTCAAAAACAAGCTGGTTTTGAGTTATTACAATGGTAATTATTATAAATGTAGCCACGACAGCTCCATTTCTGAGATGTGAGATTTGTCATACATCTAATTTTTGGTCACTAGACTGTGACTATTTCAACCTATCCAGCTTTGATGTTCGTTTCCTCTCTTATACCTAGACTGCTAAGGACTCTTGATTCCCATGGCTGCCTCTGTATCTACTTACATGCCATTTAGGGACTGTTGTAATACTGAAGGAATCTTTTTAAGGTCTTGGATGAATGGCCATAGCTTTTCAAGGATGTTTCTACTGTACCCAGTGTGCTCACAAGATTAGGTAAGAGTTGTCAAGTGTCAATATCAGCTATATTTTTACCATTGTTATTGTTTCACAAAATCCTACCTTGTCTGATACCTAAATTAATTTATATTCCATTTTATGTGATGCTAATTTTCTAGTGCAATCCTTATAGCTCTTCCCAATCCTGTGCATTATTTATGCTCACATGAACTACCACAGAATTGCAATGAGTGCGCTTTGTTGAAGCAATAATTGCTTTTGATCCCAAATCAGAATATTATTTCTACTTATTTATTAATTAAAAAATAAATAGTAAATGTGGGGATACACTTAGGAGAGGGAATGAGACAGTTTATTTATAAACCAGTACAATTAAAGCTAGCCACTTAGAAACAGTGCTTTCCATCATGTAAATGTAAACGTCCTTGGAGGTGTTCAAGGCCAGGTTGGATGGGGCCCTGGGCAGCCTGGTTTAGCATTAAATGTGGAGGTTGGTGGCCCTGCATGTGGCAGGGGGGTTGCAGATTCATGATCCTTGAGGTCCCTTCCAACCCTGGCCATTCTGTGGTTCTGTGATTCTGTGATGTAAATAATTACCAGTACTTATTGTAGGGTAAAGGCAGACTAAACCAAAGTTTGGATTAGCAATCTGCAAACCAACATGAAAGCTGCTCTTAAATTGCAGTGTAGGGAAATAGATGGAAGAGTGTTTGTCTCAGGAGGGTGGTACTGATGTTGAAAGGATACTTAATTTAACAAAATAAGTTAACCAGAAGGTCTCCTTAAGCACTGTAAGCAGCAGGAAGAGTCTCCAAGAGGGTGATGCAAGCTGTTTAAACTAAGTTCCTGATGCTGATCCTTTTTAGAAGAGCTCCTTGGTCTGCCTTGGGTACACAGGTAGTTTTTGGAAGTCTGTTTGCCTAGGTTGCACAAATAAAGTTGCAGGGTATTAGGATATCTCCTCATCTCAGCTGCCTTCTCTCTGTTCAATACCAGTGTAGTTGACAATGACAGTGTTCAACTTTGTCATCATCCAGCATTTCATTAAAGACCCCAGCACGCTGACTGCACTGTATTTCCTTGTAAAGCTGTTGATGGAATTTTTTTCAGATCATTTATAAGTCAGAAGATAGATATTTTCCAAGATCATAAGGGATAATAACTCCTCTGAGGTATTGAACTGAATTTCTATTTGCTAGTAGTGTCAGACTCTCTCTGGAATGATACAATACATTTCCACAGAAACAATGGCACTTCATTCCCTGTATCAGATTTTTTTTTTTTCATTGTCATAAAACTTAATGTTCTACTTACAGTTCACAGATGGTATATATAGTAGTCACTAGGAGTTCACTGATCCATAAGAGATCATAGGTACAGTGACCCCAATTGCTCCACATCAATGTACTTGACCACACAAACACAAGATTGCATCCAAATGAGTGTTTGGAAAAATACTTTATGAGCCATAATGACTCTACACTGTTGTGTAACTCCAGTTAATGTGCTTTTGCAGTTGATTTTAAAACTATTTGGGCATTTCAGAATCAATTAGGCGGAAAAATTCAAAACTTTTTGAAAGGTTCAAATTCACTGCTGACATTTAATTTAAGGTCAAGAAGTCTCCAGAGAAAATGTAAACAGTACAAACACTTGTCAGTCCCTTCTAAATGGTCTTTGCTCAAGGTGGTGTTGTTTAGGTTTTGGATAAACTTCTCTATTGCTCATTTTACATGCAAACAATAATTTTTGTGTAAAAATGAAATTATAATGTTCATAAAATCATCTCACTTTAATTATAAATTTGAAATTGGGAAGGTATTACACAGGTTCACTCTGCTTGGATTTAATAATAGTTCTGAACGTCAATTCTGAAACTGTACCTTGGGAAAGCTTTTCAAGCTGTAATTATTTGTTACTACAAAATTTTGCAAGCTTTCAGTACCAATCATATAGGAATTCACTGCTTCTATGCTTGTCCTCCTCTGTTTTCAACAGAGTGTCTTAAGTACATAAGTTGCACATGTGCATAATGTAGATGAGGGTCAATGTCAGTGAATGGCAGAAATATCCTAGATTTAAAAGCTCAACATTTGAGATGGAGAGAGGATTTTTTTTACCTTTTATCTTCTGTATAGCTATCAAATCTCTGCTGTGCAGAATGAGAAAGTTCCTAGAGAAAGTGTCTTCCTTTTTTTTTTTTTCCATGGCAGCAAGATTTCAAAACTGATTTAAGAACTGGCTCTGTTAAATTCGATGTAGCTCAACTTTTACAATAATACTCAGTGAAAAGTGAATCAAATATTTATTTTTATTATAGTTTCACTATTACATCTACCAATATGAACTTCAGAAAACTGATTTTAGAGTTGCTTTACTATGTGCTCAGCAGTGGAATTCTTTTGCACATAAAATCTGTTGCATTGTCAGATTGCTGTCACTTAAATGTAATTTTATTACAAAAATCATTGTAATATTTGTCACATTATGACCAGTTTTCACAGAAATATGAGACTTTGTGAGTAACAGGCTTGTAACACAATTAGTGGTCACACAGGGAGTAAGGAAAGCAGTGATTACCTTTGACTTCAGTACAGTAAAGCACTTAGGTCAATGAAAACTACTGTAATCACCAGCAGGGATGTACATGTTGCTAAAAAAAGCATTTGTCTACATACTCACATAGACCATAGTCCAAGATTTTATTCATTTATACTGGAGATAAAACGTGTGAGCATTTTTAATTTTCCATAGCAATGACTTTTGTTTCAGTAACCTAAGGTAGTGGAGTTGTCTGAAGGCTATGAGGCTAGGTAAAGTTTGCCCTCTTTATAAAATGATTCACTGTCTTCAAGTATGTAATCTTGGTACCCAGAATGTTTTTTGATTAAGCTGTTGTTTCCTAACATGGTTTGTAAGCTATCTGGAGAGACTCTGTATGTATATGTGTGCATCCTTATATTTTTATCACAAACATTGAACTACCTTAATTCATCCAGCTTTATAGAAAAATCATTACATTACTTGCTGTCAGAGGTGGAGGTGTGAAAAAATGAAATTAGTTTCATTTTTGGAACAGTACTTAAATTATGTTTTTCTTTGGGCTAATATAAGGAACAGCTGTTTCCTATGAAGGGAAGGGTAGATCCCCTTTTTACATTTTACAAAGGAAACTTAAGATTAATTAGAACAATTAACCTACATGGTGAAAGTGTCTTTTGGAATCTTCCACGTCCCCACAGGTTTTCAGTTCAGCTTTCCTGCTCTCAGTTGTATGCTCTCCTTTCCTCACCATTTGTCTCAAAGGGGAGTGAATTATTATTGCTCACTCTGCAAACAGAAAAGTACACAAAAGAATAGGTTGAGCAAAACATATTAACAGAATCTCACATAAAATGAGAATATCTTACTCTCAGTCCTATTTTAGTCCAACTGCTGATTTTAAGGTATAAAAGTCATGATAGTTAGTACCTATCTGTAGAACTGAGCTGACATTTCCTTCCATTTGAACAGCCAAGCCAAGCCATTGTGAAAAGCAAGGTAAATCTCCTAAAGCTGATTGGAATTGCTGTTGTGATACCGCCTTATTTTTACTATTAAATTTGTTTTTTTGCATTTTGTTACTCTAAACTTCTGCCAGCTTTATGGTTAGAAAGATTCATGTGTGTCCATTACTAAAGAAATATGCAGCATGTAGAGTATTTCTTGCTGAAAAGCAAGAGAAACTATACCACCTACTTCAAGACTTAATATCTTTCTGAAAGGTAGTAGTCACTTCCGTCAAGTAGTAATAGAGTTCAGAGTACTTTCTGCTAGGAAAAGAAGTCTGTAAATAATCCATCCAATCTTGTATTCCAGGCCAAGTAGAGTGAGGCCCTGGAATGATTTGATCTAGTGCCCGTTTTGATAGTTGGCAACACTATTCAAGGACTATTCAAGGACTATTCAAGGAAGGAGGTTGGAACCTTATGATCTTTGAGGTCCCTTCCAACCAAAGCCATTCTATGATTCTATGATTCTGAGAATGATATTATTCCACTACAAAATCTAATGGTTCTTTCCAGACTTGAAAAGCTATACATCAGCCACACGCAAGTGTGAATCTTAACTGTCATTTGCATGATCAGAAGGTGCAACTTTCATCAAAATCTGAATAAGATCCTGTCCTCAGAAGGTTCCAGACCTTGAAAACCTTGTGGAAAGTCATGCATCAATACCAGGCATATAACCTCCAGCAATATTTTAAATAGCAAATGTAGTCATTTGCATTAATGCTATTGAGACTGAAATTAAACAGATTTCATTTTTCATTGTAACTGGTACCATTTCAACAGGGTAGAATTGAGCTGAGCTGCTCTAGGGGACTTTGGAGACAGAAAATCTAAGGAGTTCCCTTTCATGTCTCAGCCCATAGAGAACACAACAGGTATTATCATATCACTGCAGCTTTCTACACCTCCTCCTTCAGAGGTACCAGGATGTTGGTGAGGAGAAAGAAAGTACATAGTGCTCAAAAAAATTATTTGACTATATGAGCAAAGGCAACACCTTTCAGTGTTTAGCAAGAAAATCATAGTATATAGTCTCCCTCTGAATCAATATTTGCAGCCTCTCACAATCTCATGAAACTCAGCTCCAACACCTGGGCAGGTCCTGCAGGTTCTTTTGGAACTACAGGCCATCCAGGAGAAACAGTGATAAGGCAAGTCCTGCATGGAGAACAGCTGCACATCTACCTGTTTTTTACTACACGTTTCTAGTGGATAGTAATTTTTTAGAGAGAACATCTTGTTTCTCTAAGCCAACCAGAACCCTCTCTCCCCACTCTCACTCTGAAATTAGAAAAGTTGTCAAATCTTTGGGTTGGTTATAATAGCAGGGAGGTTTGATCAGACCTGTATTTCAATTCTGAAGTGGCACAATCCTTGGCCCTCAAAGATGTGACAAATTTTGAGATGTGTACTTCAGTACACTTAAATTGGGTTTTGTACATTTTTCATGTTAGGTTCACATGGCAAGTTCATCACTTGCACAGTCCTCCAAACAAACATAACCAAATTGGAAGGGGGGCTGAGAGTGTTCTCTGTTTCAGAAGATTTTCTGTTCCCCCTCTCCTTCTTTCCCTTCTATTGTTCTAGTTGATTTTCACTATTCTCTGTAATGTCGTTTCCTTAAGGTTAATCTGTTGTTACTTAGGAGCGTGATAGTGACTCATGCAATATTTGCCAACTCCACACCTTTCAGCATTCTGCTGCTTGAATGTGAAGGTAAAATAGATCTTTGTGACTACTACTGCTTCATAAATAAAAGCTGTATTTTATACAGAAATGAGTAAGAAAGGGAAATCTAAAGAGAATTTCATTCATATTCTTAGGGTTTTCATAAGCCTACAATGAAAATGAAGCTTCCCAAGGCCAGCAGCATTCTGAAGCAATGCCTTAATAATGGATATAAATCTAAGAGAAAGGAACAGTAGGAATTAAACAAAGAAATATATTTTAATTTCTGCTAAGGATGAAGGGTAAAAATCAGTAAAATCAAAAGGAAATAATTGCCTAAAACATTTGATAGCTTAGTGAAAATCTACCTTCAAATAAAGACAGAATTTTACAGTCAGTGCAAAAAAAAACCTTTAATGGAGAAGCTACATAAATCCTGGTTTGTATGAGTCATATCTAATGTGAGCCATTATGTAATATACAAACATTAGCTGTCTTTGCAGGAATATCTGTACTTTAAATTACTGTGCATTTTTCCTTACTAATTTCTAACAGCTGTCTAACCCATCTGTATTGTACTTCAACCACTTTAAAGAGGGATCCTGAGATGGCTGCACATGTGTTAATGCAATACTTTTTTATTTCTCAATTTCTCTACTTGACTGTCATTGAGAAATTAGTAGAAGCAAAATATGTAATATTTCTTATATAGAACAACTGTTACAGAGCTGCTACTGAAAGAACTAATGCTCTGTCTGGATACACAAGCATATGCTTTGCCACCTTAGTCTACAAAACAAATTTTGATAATATCTAAATCCAAACAGCAATTTTTTTTTGTTTGTTTGTTTGGTTTTTGTCCTTCCAGATTTGGCCTTGCAGTCATTGCTCAACATCTTTCCCACCCCCAACATATTACACATACGAGACAGGGATTTCAGGGCATTTCTTGTGTTTTGCTACTTGATATGGTTTGTCAATACTGGAGTTCTTATTTCTGAAGAGGGGAGTAGCAGGAATAACTGTGTAAATAGCAGCAGTCTTCAAACTAGATGAATTATGATTATGATGTCATGAAAGGGAAAATGTTGACCTACCATTTCAAACTATGGTTCTACCATATTGAGACTGATAAATCCGAGAAAATTCTTTTCAAAATATGTAGGTTCAGACTACATGTGTTGCTATTTCTTTAGAAATAATCACAGTAATAACTAATGGTTTGCCCAAAATGCCATATAGTCCAGTTGACTAACTTGTACTATGTAGCAATAGATTCTACATCATAATTTCCTCCCTGAGTCAAATAACTTGAAACTGAACTAAGGCTTCCAACTGAAATAAAACATACCTTTCAGAAAAAGTATATTGGCTTTTCTAGGTAATGGAAAACTTGCCATGAGGTTCATGAGCCTTTCCCTGGTTTTAACTTAAACAACGGCATTGCACTGCACTGCACTATTTTTTAGCTTCTGAGGCCAGTGAATGTTGCCATGTTAAGGTGAAACAGTGATCAAAGATGAGAAATATCCTTCTCTAAACACCAAGTATGGAATTCATCCACTCTCTCCCAATCTTTATTCTTTAAAAGTTTGACTTCTAATTTAAATTACTCGACTAGGTTCCTTTTCCAGTGTGTGAAGAAACATACACAGTTCATTTGGTCAATCTTAGACACATAAATTAGGACTGGAGAAAGAGGCCATTGCACAATTCTTTCCCACTGTTAACAGTAGAGAAAATTTGACATTTGCAATGTAGGCCTGTTTTTAGATTGCTAAAATCACATGAGTTGAACAACAACACTAGTCATTGGTCACAGTGACCCTTCCCATTGAAAAGCTGTACCATCTTAATTTCCTTATTCTCTCACTGTGTGCATTTTTCATAAATCGTAGTCAGTTCTTGTGAGCTGTCTCTGAATCACATTTTGCCCTGGATGCCCACTATGAATAACGACTTCTCAATCAACTGCAGTTCTCTTTCCTACAGGAATAGCTACATTCTCCATTAGAAATCTCTTTGCTTTTCCTGAAACATTAAGGTTATATACACATTTTTTTTTAAAGAGAGCAGCTGCTCTGCTCATATTTTGATGACATTGGCCAGTTTGTTTGGAAAAAAAAATGTACAGACACACACATCGGAGTGCACACATATTATCCCATCTTCCACTCCTTCACATAGCTTATCATATAAGCTTGATTTCCCCATCTAGAAATTTTACATAACATTTGCAAGGAGAGTACAAGTGTATATTTCTGCCTTCAATGGGCAGCTGAGAAATATAAAATGACTATCAGGCAGTGGAAGTGCTCTACATTTTCCAGAGCTCAAAAGCTGATTCATGTCACAATGATGTAGACAGATGTCCAGTTAGATTCCTTCCACAGTTGTTTCCATCTGATTGATTTTTAAAAGAATCTTTTCATATTAATTCAGTTACAGTGACTTCTGTCTCCCACTGGGTGACTAGTCCTAATAGACTATGGGGTTTTGCTCTCAAAAGCTCTCAAAAAAAATTCAGAGAATGTTTTCCTTAAGAAATGTTCTGATAACAGACTCGAAGTTCTACTCTAAACCAGAGGAGATTAGGAAGAATAAATATTTGTTTCTTTTTTTTTTCCCCTCTGGATAGATTACTTTGTCCAGAGTAAGAAACTAAATTCAGCATTTGGTCTCAATATATAGCCCCAAAGTAGCTTTATGTGATACCTTAAGTCAGATCTCACCAGCTAAGCAATACTTAGATCAAGAACTTCTCAGGATGTGGTAGGAAATGGAGTGGGTGATCACACAGTGGCATCTTGCTTAAGTTAGCACCAAAATACATGCTTTTACTTACTGATTTAACTCAGATCCTCTCAAAAACTTCAAGACGTTAAAAACACCATTATTCCTTATGTAAGAATAATCTTTTCAGATGCAGGGTTGAAATTTTACCTTGGGAAATTAAAATGCCTATAGAATTTCTGCATTCTTCAGTGTTCCTTCTTAAATCTTTCTATATTGGTGGATGTTGCCAGGTACCTTCTCTGTAAGCAGCTGCTCTTCAAAGCTGATGTACTGTTCGTGTGAAGGTAAAACACTGGGGAATTCTTCTGAGTTACT